ACTGACTTATACTTTTGAATGAGAGTGATAAGTAATAATTGCCTTATCTAATTTCTTATCATGGTATTAATGCCAAGTTTGTAATGTATACACAGTAAATGATTACTGTGTAAATTACCATGATAAGAAATTAGATTAGTTTCATTCAATTAGTTTCATGAAAAGATAGCGTTTTCTTGAATACATATACTTTATACATTTACGTTTACACATTAATGTCTAATAATAAAACACAAACTGATTAATAGTCAAAAGAATATTTAGTTATATTTTATTTAAACATAGGTGTATATTATAGATGTATAGTAGAACAATCATTAAATATTATCAGTAAATAATGTTTTGGACACATATTATAAGGTATATACTGTTCATTCTCAATAATGTATATAGGCATACATATAGTAGACAATTGCTAATAAATCAACACTGATCACTTCATACAGCTAGGTGTTGTTATCGTAGGTACTTATGGTATGGCATAAGTATAATTTNGTTGTTATCGTAGGTACTTATGGTATGGCATAAGTATAATTTACTTAAATGTTTCATGTGTAATATATACACTATATATACAAATAGATACTTTAGTATCTATTTGTTGATTGTTGATCGATAGAGATACACTGATAAATGTATATGAATTACGTTCTACGTTAGATAATATCTAACGTAATTATTTTGTTCTTATATTATAAAACTAAATCATTTATCACAGAACGTATATTATCAAATATTGGTCACTTTCCTTTAACACTTGATACAATGTAAATTTTATTTCATACTGGTTTATTATCGGTATATAAATATACTATAATGTTATCTATCTACGTTATATTGTATATTAGGACCAATTACAAAAAGGTGAACATTCGGCTGACAATAGTCAGTAGAGTAATATTAACCCACATTTTTGCGTGTAACACATGTGTAAGTCGATGTGCATAAATGTTGAGGGAAACATTTCGTTCTATAACATCGGTCACAACGTAAAAAGTGGTATTTAGACATGAAAATACACTGCTTGAAGTATGTGACTTCAAAAGGGGTGTTTACTACCACAAAAGATTACATATTTGGGTAAACTCCCATGATAAACAAATTATGACACAGCATTTTATTAGACCTGATGCCAATAACGTTGATAATTATTATATAGAAATGTTATTTGATTATTTATTTTCGTTAAATGAATAATATGAATATTTATAATTTTTATTTTT